GGGGGGGGGGGGATAAGACGAGACAGCGTGCGTAGGCGAGTAGGGTAGGCAGCTCAGGTAGGCATATGTGAAAACGGGCGACTCGATAAAAATCGAACAACGGACGATGAAGTCGCATTATTTTAGACAGGGTTACGTACCTACTTTGCCCGCCCTGGCTCCCATGAGCCTAATTCCCTGCAAGACTCCAGGCCGGCCCGTGGAAATTAGTTGGATCGTCCTAAGGGACCTCTCCCCCCCTGTAGTCACACTGGCCCATGTTCTTCTGAAACAGCCGCTCACGATGAGCCAAAGAGCCAAGTCTACGATGGTTAATTTGACACGGAACGAGGTCAAAGCCGTTCGTGCAGCTGCTGCCTATCGTTGTGGTATGAGCCTCGCTTTCGGTCACAGATAACTGTTGATCTTTCACCGAGTGATAAAAAGCTTACAAGCTATTAGATATCATCGATAGGCACATATAGGCCCATCAGATACGCAACCCATCATATGTCTATGGCAGTAGTGTATATGCGAAGCCTCTACCTAATCCATGACTGCTAACCGAAAGCAAATTGCAGCGTTTCCTACTCTTCGAAGATGGATGATATCAAGCCGTTCTCGTCGTGCTCGTGTGGTGGTTCTGGACGAAATCATGGAATGTGAGGCGTGGCGCAAACGGCTTCAGGTGTGTTGCGGACATCGGCACTTGGGATGAAATGATGTCTTTCTGCAGCTGTGCAATTGCGTCGGAAGAGAATGTCTACTTACCCGACGCTACGTTTCAGCCACGGGGACCGAAGACCGGATGACAGCGCCGATGGAGAGTGCCAATGATGCCATCAAGATCAACGTCATCTGAACTATAAGACGAAAGAATCGGTTCGGTGGCGGACGAGGGACCAGACAGAGATCAGGGGCATAAAAGTCCACCGAGATGAAGCAGACCCTTCCAGGGCGAACCCAATCGCAAAAGGTGAAGATTTCCCTAGGTAAAATCCAGGGCAATCAAGGGGTCCCAAGGATTCGAATTTTCTTCAAATTCATGCATGACATTCTGTAGGGCAAGAGCAGGCTATACCACTTTAGGCAAGCGTGGTCCTTTACCCCTGAAGAATTTCCGATGACGCAAATGGCAAACTCCAACATGGGGAAAGCCAAAAAAGAAAAACATTCCAGTCAGCACTTCAAGTGACACTCTCGAAATGCTAGAAATGGCAACAAAAAAGAAGTGAAACTCCAGCACAAGGCTGTGAGACTTGGTAACTAGACAATCTACAGTGTCATAACCAGTTGCTATCGTCGCATGACCACCACTTTTTGCGACCTTGGAGGACCGGTACGGAGGGAGGAAGCATGGATGGTCTGCTATGCAAACATGGCGCGGCGGATACGGAGGTCCGCGTGGATAACATACAGTTCCTTTCGGCACCGATATGCACGGCCATGTCGGTGCATGACACACCCGGCTTCCCTCATGGAGTTCTCCTGGCCCTTATCTCTCTCGTTCCTTCCTCTTTTCCACTTTCTCTTCCTGGCCAGACCTCATCGAGACTGCCTTTTCCACCATTCATGACGATGGGAAACCTTGTCCACCGTGACCAAGAAGCTGGTGGCAGTCGCCGGGTCAAACAACGGAAGGCGCGGTTGTTCGTCCACTTCCCCGATCCGGTCTGATGTTCCTAAGCAGGTATCTCCCTCCTTCCTCTCATCCTCCCATCCACGACACATGGTAGAGACGGGTTACACTCGTTACCTGGACGTATCATCTACGTCGAGATGATCGACAAAACAAAGAGGTTTGGACATTCTGTGCCAACGTAACCCAAACCACTCCCAAATCAAACCACCCTCTTCGAAGAACCCTCCCAAGTATCAGGTTGGATGCACACAAGTTCGGCTCGATGCAGGTCCCGGAGCCACAGAGTAACATTTGGGCCCGGGTGATTACATGCAAAAAAATGAAGAGGGTCAAATACGACGGCCTTCGGCGCGGCAAATGCTCGGCACAACACAAACACGGCTTATGGAGATGAATTGGGGATCCTGGAGTCGCCCGCGCCCTCGTTTTTGGGGCGACGGTATCCGTGAAGGGACAGGGTTGATCGTCAACTGCAAGCATCTGCACATCTGACGAAAATCGTTGACAATCGGAAGGCAGCTGTCCATTAGACGACAACTTGGACTCGTGGCTTCTGGGTGTCGTGCCTACCCAGGTCAGAGGCGTTGAATTGACAGTTCACAGAACTATGCATGCTTTTGGAGACATTTTGTCTTCTCCAGGTCAAGTCATCAGCGTCTTCTCTATCCCAAGACCTAGACTTACCCGGAAAACCTCGTCGTGATGATCAAGTTCACATGGCACGGATGCATCCCGGACCGTTGCCCAAGCGGCGGTGCTCCCGTCTTTGGCGGGCCAACTCCCGAGTGGAGGAAGGGACATTGACTTCGTCCTAAGAAGTGGTGAGTTGCTCATCCCTTGAGCTGGTTGGTGTCTCCTGTTCCCCAACCAACAACACCTAACCATGATCTAACTTCGTATTGGGATGACAGAAACAACAATGCGGTGACCCTGAAAACCGCCCCGCTGGGAAAGCGCATCTGTGAAGGCGCTGACTCCCTTCGTCGTGAAGAGGAACTTGCTCGTATCATCCGCATCAGCTCCTCGATCGAACCTTGAGGATGACAGAGAGGCACGTGAAGGTGAGGCGCCGTGAACACTTCACTTGGTGAGCTTGAGTGACCTTGAGGCCCTCAACGTCCTCTATAAGTATCTACCTATTAACTCGCGAAATGGGTAAACGTTCCACCCCCCTTTGAGCGCCTACAGATGACATATGTCGGCGCCCCGTAAGCCAGCTCGACCAGCATACACCAGCATATGTATCTGTCGCGGTTGTGAAGCTCCTGGACAACGCCCACAACCCTAATTTACCTGCGTGCCAATTTACAGGCTCCGCCTTGACCTATATAGGTTTCTCCCCTCTGCAGGCGCTCAAAAGTCTCCCTTTTGCGTTGTCGACCAAACCAGAATTAACCACTTAATCTCCAGGCACGATGAGACCTTTACAAATATTCGCTGGCCTGGCCGGCCTCTTGAGTATCTTGAAGCCCATCCAGGCTTCTACGGTGGTCGACCCAAAGATCGCCGCCAAAGCTGCCATCGATGCCATGAATAACGCCTTCTACAACCCTTCCGAAGGCCGCTGGTCTCCCGAAATTGCCTGGTGGATCTCTGGAACCGCCCTTCAGGCCGTTCTGGACTACATGCATGTTACCGGCTCGCGGGACTATCTCGACCAAGCGCGGTACATCGTCGACAAGCAAAAGGCGCCCGTGCCCGGCTGGCCCCAAGGCGGCGGCAACTTCAGGGCGGACTCTACTGACGACACGGCCTGGTGGGCGTTGGCGATGCTTCGTATGTTCGACCTTACCGGTGACAAGCAATACCTGGAGGTTGCGAAGCAGGATGAGCAGTATATTTGGCAGTACTGGACGGACACGGAGTGCGGCGGAGGGATCTACGTGGACATCAAGGCATTAACGTACAAGAACGCTATTGCCAACGCCTTGTACATCAAGTTGGCCGCGGGATTGCATCTTCGCACGGGCGATTCTCGATATCTGACCAGGGCGCTCAAGACACGCCAGTGGTTTGAGGAATCGGGCATGATCAACGCAGAGGGGTTGGCCAACGACGGGTTGACAAATGATAAGGCAAACCAAGTGTGCTTCAACAACGAGGGACCGACGTGGTCATACCTCCAGGGAACGCTAATCGGCGGTTTAGTCGGTACGGTATCCCTTTTCCCCCTTCCTCTATTTTCTCTTATTTTCCCCCTTCTCATACCAAGTCATATTAAGCCTTAAAGTAACTAACAAGCCAACCCCTAAACCCAGAACTCTCCCGCACAACCCCCAACGAAGCCTACGTCCGCTCCGCCGTAACCCTCGCCAACGCCGTCATTTCCTCGCCCAAACTCACCCCCCAATCCACCTGGGTCCTGACCGACTACGCCTGCGAGGGCACCGCCGCGGGCTGCAACTTCGACCAGCAGAGCTTCAAGGGTATCTTTGCTCGTAACCTCGGCGAGCTGGACGTGTTGCTCAGGGAAAGGCCATATCGCGCATATTTGGAGCACAACGCAAACTCGGCATACCAGACGGCACGGAACCCAGCAAATGGTTCTTACGGTACCAGCTGGGCGGGACCATATGATGGAAGCAATTTGGCGAAGCAGCAGTCGGCGGCGAGCTTGTGGGTTGCGGTGCTTCAGGATCAAGGAACGGCTTGATATCCTTCGGCAGCTGCGCTTGTGGGTTCCGGTCTATAGACTGGAATAGTTCTGCATTCGTTCTTTGAGAGGAGGCTTGGGGTGTACGATGAATAGAAATGGTTCGGGAGAAGTCTTCATCACGCACTGATGTTGTTGCGCCCAAAAAGAGATAGCATCGCAGGGAACAAAAGATAAATTCGCACTTGAGTGTCGTGAGACACTCGCGGCAGAAGCAGACGGGGGCACATATGGAAAGGCCAAAGGGGGAATACAAGAGACAGGGATTAGAGAGCATATAATACAAGTCATTGCATTCTTCATCTCGCCCAACTGGTGACGCCATATAACGCCAGCAAAAATAACGGTCAAAGGGTGCGCAGGCATGGTCTGCCCGGCAATCAATATCTGGGAATCGTAAAAAGTTGGGCAGATAGGAGGTAAGTAAGCGAGCGACTATCATTAGTCATTGTATCTCACCACCATACCAGAAGACTGCAATGAAGATTAAGATTGGGCGTGTGATAGTAATATCAAGGTCGTTCCGCAAAGAAGACAAAGCCCCCGCCGCCGCTACCTGTACATACATAATATACGTACGGCAATATCTGAAAAACTCCAATCACTCCGTTTTCATCCCATAAAATCAACTCCAAACCTCCACGTCCGCCAGTCCAAGTCTATTGTTTCTTTTTTTGGAGATGAGTTAAGACCAAGAAGATCTGTTGTTCCGCTTGCTTGGTCTTCGTTTCCGTCCATTTAGACCTTGAGGTTCCCTTTTTTATTCTTCTGTCTTATTTTGCCCCTTATCAGTCAGTCGCTTCGTCCTGGGCCTTTCGTCTGGGTGAGTATGAAGGTAAACCGGTTGTGTCTCTCCCTCCTCTCTTCCATCATTTTGCGTTTTCCTCCCTTGTCATCCCGTCTACCTTTATACCCCCGCATTGTCCATCTGAGCGACAACATGTCGACCCGGGTTTCAACCTCCCCCTTCCTCCTCATCCTCCTCCCAATCCTACACAAGAACATCACGTCATATTTTATAGGCTGAAGGGCCTCTTGGGGTAGCTGACGCCCTCGACCGCCGCGTTGTCGACAAACCAACTGCACCTCTCACCCGTCGCCTCGTTCACCAGCGCGCACGGCAAGCCCTTGCCCTCCTCAAAGATATCCTTCATGATCTCCTTCTTGCCGCCGCCGGTGGCCACGAACGCGAGGCGCACCGAGTGCGTCACGACCGGCAAGGTGAGGGTGATGCGGCGCGGGGGCGGCTTGGGCGAGTCCTCGATGGGGCTGACCCAGGCCTCGGTCTCGCGCAGCAGCTCGTGTCCGGGGAACAGCGAGCACGTGTGTCCGTCGGGCCCGCAGCCCAGCAGCAGCAGGTCGAAGATGGGCAGCTTGACCGAGTCGCGCGCGGCAAAGGAGTTCACGAGCGCCTGCTCGTACCGGTCCGCCAGCTCCTGCGTGTCGTCGAGCACCGATTCGTCAATGGTGTGCACCGTCGGTTGCGGGGTGCCCTCGGGAATCTTGTCGAGCAGCTCCTTCTTGAGCAAGAAGTAGTTGGAGTCCTTGTGCGAGAGCGGGACCGCGCGCTCGTCGGCGAAGAAGATCTCCCACGACTCCCACTTGACCTTGTCCGACTCGTCCTTGGCGGGCGCCAGCAGCGCTTGCGCGAGCGTCTTGGGCAGAGAGCCGCCTGAGACGCCGACCTTGAAGACGCCGTGACGCTCGATGCCGACCTCCTGGCACGAGATCAGGTAGGACCGCAGGGCGGTCGCGAGCGTGTCGACGCTGGGGAAGGAGTAGAGGTTGGCTTGCTTGCCCATTGCTGCTTGCTTGGCTTATCGCGGGAAAGTTGAGCTTCGGTGGGCGTTTTGCTGTTGGTGATGCTTCGGGCGGCGAAGTTTTAGGTCAGGTTCAATTCCGATGACCGGGGATAGAGGTCGTGACAAATATCGCAGGTGTGTTTTACTTTTTCCTGTTCTCTTTCAAAGTTTACGAGGAGGAAGGAAAGGGAAAGGAGAATGGATTGGGTTAAGATCTGTCGGTGTCTTGTCTTGTCATGCAATAACTGCGGGGGTGGGGACGATATCGCAAACCGGACCAGCTTTTAGTGTGCAGTCAGTCAATGAGAAAGTCGTAGCAGTAGCCGTAGCGATGATAGCTCTGAGCGTCGTCTTTTTAGTGGGGCACTACCAACGGGCGAACTGCAGGGAAAGGACCAAAAAGCTTTTTTTGCGACGAATCAAAACCGAGGTAGCACCTCCCCTGGCTTAAAGGCTCCGGACCACACACCTCCATACACTATACTCGTCAGATATGGGGCTTTCCCAACCTTACAACAACAGCTCAAGGAAGGCGAACAAAGCAGATGCTCAAGATAAGATCATAGGAGTAGCAATCCGCAGCTTGTCAACCAAATGATTCTTGTGTTTGGACCGGGACAACGTTACTCCAGTACTCTGTAGCTCTGCGAACCATGTCCCACCACCTACCCCTATGGGTTTTTGGAGGTTAGCAACGACAATGTCCAGGGTCACCCAAGTGACCCAACGAGCTACGAACAACAGCCAACAACGATCGCGATTGGTAGGTAGGTTGGTAGTGCGAATAAAGACGATGTCGTGAAATCATGTAGAAGAATCTTGGAATCTCAGAAAGAAAGACGCACTTCGAGTTCAAAAATTATATATGACCGCCACTCTTCTGCCCGTGGCAATATTACGGTTCGATGTCGAGTGCTTGGTTATCCAACGGTGTATTTGTGTGGTTTGCTTCACAGCAGGGCTCACTCTTGCACTACCACTACGATAGATCTGGAGCGAGGTTTATGAGGCTGCGATCTCGTGTCTCACCCCATGATATGATATCGTTCGTCTATGGATGTCGTAATTTGTCTTCGCCATCAGGAGGTATGACACGTGCTGTGGTGGACGAACAATGGAAGATGTTAATGGGCATATTGGTAAGGTTTCTGTCCTCTTTGAAAGTGCTATCCGTCATGGTGAGATCGAGACGAACGCCATGTGGTCAGAATGATTCCCAGCTTGCCATAACATCGTCATCAGCAATTCCTTTATCTCGATGTCCATTTTTTGCCCTTGCCAACACTCAGGACTAGCAGATTAGCATCACTGGATGCCTCAATGACATTCTCAGACCGAGAAGTGTTGGCTCGGATCTCGATGCCTTTCTTCTTATGCCTGGCACGGCATCGTAAAGGAAATGGAAGATACGTATGCCGATGGTTTATGGAACAAAGGAGGGTGACAGTTGGGAAAGTTCCGAATGGAATCAGTGACGGCATAGTAATGCCCTGAAGAGAGAAGCGGCTACATCTTTCCCTTTTTGTAATGAGTTGCACCCCTTCCGAAAGGCACAGGTGCGTCTACCTATTGTATCTCCCTGATATCCGGGTTTGATTGCTCTTTGCATCATCCTCTTTCGGATTATTATTTGAAGTCTCTTTTGGAGAACAGCTCTATACTCGAAAAGTTAAATATACAGAGCTGTAGTACCAAGTTGGTAAATTATCAGCAAGCAGTTAAATTTACCAGTTGTTATTGTTGTTGTTGTTGTTGTTGTTGTTGTTGTTGTTGTTGTTGTTGTTGTTGTTGTTGTTGTTGTTGTTGTTGTTGTTGTTGTTGTTGTTGTTGTTGTTGTTGTTGTTGTTGTTGTTGTTGTTGTTGTTCTTGCCGTCGTCCTTGCCATCGGGGCCGTTTCCATTTCCATCAGAGCCATTAGGTCCGTTACCGGCAGGGCCATCAATGGGAACAGTACCGGTGCTAGCACCAGGCAGCGAACCAAGCGAAGTACCGCAAGGCAAAGTCCTGAAGCGAGATCGCTGAGTGGTAGGCGGGTTGGTAGCAGAAGCGGGGAGGTTGTTGGCTCCCAAAAGGTTGCCGAGGCCGGGGATGACGGAATCCAAAAGGGAGACCCCGGAGGTGAGAGAGGCGAGGTCGAGATAGAGCTTGAAGTCAAGGTCGAGGAGGTCGGTGAGGGTGGTGGAGATAGAGAGGAAGGGTGGGAGAGGGCAAGAGGTGCTGGTGGAGGTAGGAAGAGCAGGGCGGGTGATGGTGGCGAGGGTGGTGGTGGTGGGGCGACCGCCGTTGTTGCCGGGACCGTTGTTGCCGGGACCGTTGTTGCCGGGACCGTTGTTGCCGGGACCGTTGTTGCCATTGCCAGGGCCACCATTGCCAGGTCCGTTGTTACCCGGGCCACCATTACCGGGCCCGCTGTTGCCATTGCCCGGTCCATTGTTACCGGAACCGGGACCACCACTGCCAGGTCCGCCAGGTCTGCGAGGTCCGCCAGGGCCATTGTTACCCGGACCACCAGGACCAAAAGGGGGCTTGCCAGTAGGGATAGGCATAGCCGTCACGAGGCCTTCCTCATCGCAAGTGGTAGTAGCAGTGACAGGCCAGTGGGGATGTCCACCAGGACCACCGGCTCCGGGACCACGAGGGTGCTCGCCACGAGGAGGGTAAGCAGTGACGGTAGGAGGAGTGACGGTCACATAGATGGTGGAAGGCTGGACGTCAACCGAGTGCGGCTGCTCGGGCGGGACGCCGATCTCGATGGAGGCACAGTCAGGGAAGAGAACGGTGATGTCGATGCGGCAGACGTTGTCGGCTGTGGCGAGGACGGAGAGGGAGGGAAGGCGGGGGAGGAGCTGGTTCAAAGCCATTTTGAATGAGTTCATAGAGAGAGTGTCGTTGATTGTTGTTGAGAAGGAAGAATTAAAGAGTGTAAATTAGTCAGAGTGTGAAAGTGAAGTGAGTGTCGTTTGTGTGGTGAAGGTAGGTAGTGAAGGTAGGAAAGAAGATGAGAGTGATGAGGAGTAAAAGTGATGTCCATGATGGGCTGCTCCTCTTGTGTTATATAGAGAGTTTCCCTGGGTGCGGCGTTGTTGAGGCTATCACGCCTTGCTTCTTCTCCATGTTCCAGATCTCGCCTTTCGCCTACGACAGTTGTTGCCATCTCTCCTTTTTTTTCCCAAGCAATTTGCAGCATGTCTTGAAAGTTCAACGTCTATCTGGTTGAATATGGTTGAATCTCTGGATGCAGAACGTACATTAGCGCCAGTCTTCCAAATATGTCGGTGGTTGAACCCGGAGATTTGCCTCCAGATAGACACTGTTGGAAAGAAATATTGCCATTGATTTTCTGATACCCATGATGGAAGGTCAGAGTTCAGCCCCTCAAAAACAATGAGACATATTCACAGTCCCTTGGGCCAAAGTCCCTGGAAAGCCAAAAGGGCGAATGTTGAGTCTAGATATGTCATCGCCTTCTCGACTTCAGTCTTGGAAAGGCAAATTGACTGGGTTTTGTTCCCTAAAGGGAATTGCAAGCAAGAAGACAATAAAGGGAGCACGGTCTGGACCATGAATATCAACGACTTGGTGACCTAAAAAGTCGGTTTTAGAGACACAACGTGCAGCTGTCTCATCCCTATGTAAGATCATACACGAGCATCAACTAGCGTAGCCACTCTCCAGGTTGTGGCGTTCAACGGTGCAAGCATACAGGCTGAGACAGCCTCTTGTATCCCAGCAACACACGCAGTTCAGAGATTTCGACGATCTCCTCTTTTCTTTTTCCTGAGACGTCACCACGAGAAGCGACTCGAAAGCGCCCTCCCTTGCATGCTCTCTATGGGACGGCACCACGATACCGTGACCAGCACTAGCTGCATCCCTCGGCACTAACGCACGACCCAAAGCTGAATAATAGTAAGACAAGCATCAACACAACAAAGGCATCGTAATCGTAAAAGTATCAATTAGCCTCCAACACCGTCATGTAAAGCTATGAAAGGGGATGACCAAAATCCTCCCATATCGACGGTCAAACCTGTTAGACTCATCAACAACAAGAAAATCAACATGATGGTACGCTTCCGAGAACGTGGATAAATGCTAAAACGGGGGATGAGAAGAATGGAGAGGTTGAGTAATGCTCCATGCTACTACTGGCTCTCCGTAGGCCAGCAACCCCTTCCTGAAAATGCACAACAGAATTGAATATCCTTTCGACGATTCCCTTACTCCTACGTATCGCTGATCAGCAGCTTGGAGCTCGCCTCATTCGCAAGCAAGACATCACCACATGTCTCTTGGACATGCTTTTCGTCAGGCTTTGTCGCCTGATTTGTCGCCTTCTTTCTGCTCAGTAGTATCCTATGCAACTCGAGCAGCAGGCGACGGCTTAACTCCACGCCGTCCGAGCAAAGTGGCACCGTCCAGATTAAGCTCGAACGCTCCCTTTTGTCGGTTGCGTTCGCGAACCTGTTGTCTGGCGGCAGCCGTGACAGTTGCGGAGTGCTGTCCATAGCCTCTTTGTTCAGCGGCCGCTGGGGGTGGGTGAGCCTTCCTCTCGCGGTCCCTGCCGCGTTGCTCCTGTTGCTGGTCCCTGATCTGAGCATTGCGCATGCTTTGCTCAAGAGATATATGATATTGCTTGCCATTTACGGCATCAGGCATAGCAACATCCTCTCCCTCGTCGGAGTTCTCGTCGAGACCTACCAGACGAGACACGCCCGCCTTGGCTCCAAGATTATGACGTCTCTTGCCTTCTTCCTCTTGGCGATGGACGGCATAACCGACATCAAACACCTCGCGGAGATTGACAGCACCTGGAGAGCGGAAGTCATAGCGCCTGTCTCCATCCACAATCTTGGATGCATCGAAGGCCCGCAGCACACCGGTCGAGGTGGGGTTCTTCTGCTCGTCTCTTGGGGTAGGACCCGAGCCGGCGATCCAAGGATGCGCGAGGAACTCTGTGATCGTGTAACGCTTCTCGGGATCAACACACAAAAGATGGGAGATAAGATCCTGGGCAGACTTGCTGATATCGTCCCACCATGGCGAAAGGAAGGTAAACTGGCCCTTGGCAACCTTCTCCGTCAGGACCTCAATGCTCTCATCGTAGAAAGGTGGGAAGCCGCAAAGAAGCGTGTAGAGAACGCAACCCAGCGCCCACATATCGACCGCCTTGGAGTAACGCTCGTCCTTGACAATCTCGGGTGCTGTATACCCGACAGTGCCGCACGGAGTCATGGTTTGTTTGTCCCATACGATCTTGGATAGGCCAAAATCGGCAATCTTGATCTGACCAATTCCGCCAGCGCCTACGCCCTTGATAAACTCGCCCTCATCAACCTTGTCCTCGTCACCTGGCTGCTTGGGTTTCGGGTGCTTCGACGGCACATGTGGAATGGGGCTGAAGAGGATGTTTTCGGGCTTGATGTCACTTTTCAAGGAGTCAGCAAAGATTCACAAACGATTAGGCACGGTGATGTGGGACAACGTACCGATGAACCACGCCCTTCTCCTCATGCAGATACTCAAGAGCCTTTGCTACCTGCGTGATAACATGCCTGGAGAGATCCTCGCTGAAGTACGTCAGACGCACAATCTGGTGGAACAGCTCGCCACCAGGTGCTAGCTCAAGAATAATGTAATAGTATTGACGAGACTCGGCGAAGTCGACAAGTTTGATGATGTTGGGGTGGTCAAGCTGGCGCATGATTTGCACCTCTTTCAGAATGTTGGCTCGCTGTTGATAGACATGGTTAACCCTCACAGAACATTAGCAGGCGGGTATGTCCCTACCCCAATGCTTGATCGGGGTAGGGGCAGGTCGTCAATAACAAAGCAGTCGAGACATATCAGGAGAGGCGAGTACATTGACGACCAGCAATGGAAAATAGACAAAAGAGAGTTTTCTCGCACCTCTGCAGCCTTTGGGGCCTTTGGCTTGAAGTCCGGATGGAGATGTTTGTTGCTCTAGAGTGAGCCCTGGAGGTTGGTATTGAAACCTTATAAAAACGACAAAGACGAAAGGAAACGGGGATGGCGAAAGAGGAAGAAGAGGACATCCCCGGTATGCTGTCACGTACCTGCATGTTATTCATTTCGTACTTGCGAACGACCTTGATGGCCACCTCGCCCGCGTTACCCTCCAAATCCCGTGCGCGGTAAACGTTGCTGAAGGCGCCATCGCCCATCTTCTCGACGAGCTCCCATCTCTCAAGGCCGGGGTACTTGGGGAACTTGCTCTTGCTCGCATTCTCTTCGGCAACAAGCCTGGCAATGTTCTCGTCGGGGATCTTGGTCTTTGACTTGGCCTTGGCTGCTAGGTTCTGGTCGGCCTCGGCATGGTGGGCAGCGGCATGGCCAGCCTGGGCAACACGGTTGTGGCCATCAGCTTGCACGGCCGAATAGGCATCTTGAACGGGCGCTTGGTGGTTCCGCGGCGGAGAGCCTCCTAGGTTGGGTTCTGAGACAGGGGGCGCCATCTTTGCGGGCTGGTGGTGATGATGGTTGGAAGAATGGTCGGCATGTTTTGACCGCGCAGGCTCCTCAGGGTTTGCGCGGGCTTGCTTTCCTGTTTGATGAGGCCGATATTAGCTTGTGATTCCTTGCCGGGAGGAAGGGGGCACTGGGTACGAGGAGACGGTAGGAGAGAGGCACCGAGTGCGGGCAGGTGCAAGCATGCAACCCAAGGCAAACATACCGTGTCGGATGAAGTTCTTCAACTGTTGTATTGTCGACATTTTATCTGATATTAACCAGGCTGACGCCTTGTTCTCGATCTGATGGTGGTTTGGTTGCTGGAGTATGTAGGAGTTGGCTGGTGAACAGCGGTGGGAGGATGCACCTGGATCCTCGCCTTGATGCTGAGTTGGGTGCTAAGCAAAGCTAGAGGCTTTGGGCTAGCTAGTGAATCAGGTGGACTGATATTCGCAGTCTAGACTATGCGTCGTCACAGTATCAATAGGTTGCCGAGAAGCGGTTTCACCAGTGAAGGATTGTTGTCGAGTGTCTCGAGTGGTTGTTCTGCGGATTTCCGTGCAGCGGTTGTGAGCGGGGTCGGGCAGTGTTGGGCGGGATAAAATGTGCCGATTTGCAAAGGGCGATGTGGAGAGATGAGCGCGAAGGTGCTGTGCTATACTGTAGTAGGGCGAGCGCGGCTTGTAGGTGGAGGGACAGGACGTTTCTGTCTAGTAGGTCTTGTGTCGGTCGTAGAAGGGTTACCGGGAATGGAAAGAGTTTTAGATGACGATCGCAGGCACCGCGCGCTGGAGTCGACAAGATATTAACCGTCTGCCGGAAGTCAATGACGATGGAGGGATGGGCGGTAGATTGGTACCTCTGCAATCAGGAGGGAGGCTCGACTTCAAGTTGGGACAGGTGGGCGCTGCTATTGGCTGGAATGGAAGGTCACAGTGGCTGCACGGGACCGAACCAAGGAATATGGGAATTTGCAATGCAGTGACGCAGTTGTAAGGCCGCACGTAAACAAAAGGAGGATCCTGCAGACCGAATGAACGAGGTTTCGTTGATATGGAAAGGCGGAAGATTGACTTTTGTGCTTGGTAAGGTGGGGGGAATGGGAACAGAATGGAAAGGGCCCTGGGGCATGGAGGGATTTTGTTCTTATTTTTACTGGGACTGGCAGGAGCTGGGCTGCTGCAGGTGGGAGTGACCCGAGTCGGAGTGGAGGGGTGTGTGATCATTTCTTTCATCATCGGGCGCCGCATTGTACCTGTACTTACCATGGATACCTACCTACACTACACTACATACATCAGACTACTACATATCCATGCTGCCATGCCAGACTATCCAGACAGTTTCATGTCGACCGCAGCTGTTGAGCCTAACCGGACCCACGACAGGCGCGATATTACAGTCCAACTTCAGGACTTACCTACCTTATTCATTCAAGTCGGTACTCCTACCGCAGAGGACAAGAAAAAGCCTAACTGTCCCAAACCCCATAAGGACAAGATGAATGGCTGTGTACAAATGGAAAAGACATGAACAAAAACCAACATGGCACATACAATGTAAGATCATGCTTTGGCTATGGAACAAACCAGAGGTCTCGAGCTAACAACATAGTACGGATCTTGAATGGTTGCCTTGGCGGACTTCGTGGCCGGCGCGATATTGAGACACATCGATAGCGCTGAAGACTTGAAATCCCCTCGTGCTTGTAGGCTAAGAAATCCGTGAAGCGTGGTCAAGTTCGCCGACGCTGGACGCCTTACACAGCTGAGCTGAATAATTCTTGTTTATGTTATCTTGCTCCGACTGGAATACCACTCATGTCCAGAAGGGGGCCGCCCATGTCGGCGGTGTACCACGCGTGATGGGAATGGGACAGTTTGGACGATGGGATTGGGCACAAGCGCAACTTCGCAAGAACGTGCCTCTGACTCTTGAGTGCTGTTCCATGCTTTGGCATCCACTTTCCCGCTTGACTAACAATTCAGAGTCTCCACGGTCGGCAAGATCAGATCCAGGATTCCCACTTGTATGACGTAGTTGAGCGTCATCCCACTGCCGCTTGACCGAAAGCAGCCTAGCGCCATCATCTGTGTCCGCCCGAGGAAATTCCCAGTTCGCGTTTTTGCGAGGAAAAGGCAACCACCACGCAGTTAAGAGATATCGGCCACCACTGCCTGCAACGACGACCGAGACGCCCGATTGCTCGCAATTTCCAATATCGCATTCCGTCCTGAAAGTTCTTCTTCATTCCCATATTGTTGGAACCCCATCAGATTTCACACCACTGCAGATGTAATAAACATCAAGGCATATATTTTTTTGGTCTTGTGGTCTGGGTCTAGGTCGAAACAAGCATCCAGATCAAGGTCAGATATGAAACCAAGTTCAGCTCCACGGCCCACCTTCTTCTGGCGCCCGGGGTCAGGCATATCTCGTTACCAAACTCTTGGAAGACGCGTTTCGGAGAGCTTGCATTCCGATGAGTGGGTGTAAAAGCCTTCGATTCGAATGCTTCACCAGACCCCTATTGCATGAGTCGCGTGGTTCCCAACTGAATCGTCCAACCGCCCTTGCCAGCCGAGAGTCCGTTTTCCCCGGCTTGGTCACCCCTGAGGGGCATCCTCTCTTCGATTTCTTTGTCATCCGGACATAGCCCCTATCGGCCACGCTGGGAACTTGGAGCAATTCACTCCCAGTACCTATCATAAGGATGGGATGGCTACCACGTTCCCTACAACTAATCGACACAGCGCCAATGTACAGCGATCAACATGCATCATGTCAGATCCTCAAACAAACGCAGTACTGACAGGTTGATAGCGGCATCAACGGGAGTTAGCCGGTGCGTTTTGGGCTTGATCACATCTGCGGCACGTACAATATTCAGATATTCGTCATTGATGCCGGTGATCTTGAAGGAAATCCTTCTGATCCTACCTGAGACGGCGCTCATAAGCTCGAGACGGCTTGTTTGATCGGGTTCGCTTTTGTAATACAGTTTACAAGACCGCAGATCCTGTTCCGTTCTTGTCGTCAACGGTCGGTTGGCATGCGGCTCAAGTACTAGGTATAAGATACTCTTGTCCCCCCGCGTCATTCCATCGGTTCATTGAAAGGGCAGGCCCTTGACGTCCCTTTTACCACGCACGCCGCGACCAACGGGAACATCTACAAATGCTTCAATAGGTCAAGGGGCTGGCTGGCTTCTCCGTTACGCAGAAGCGCCCCTGACGTCATAAGGGGCCTTTTTGTAAGATTTGAGGTGATGTTGGGCCATCCGCACGAGTATTGGCCAGCAAGGAACGAATCACACCATGAGCTCCTGGAGGGAAATAGGGAGGCCGAGGCTGTGAGGCTACGTCGTTGAAGTCAGTTCGGCAATAGGCGAGAAGTGACTCCGCTGTTCGGTCGATTAACATTTCCGGGGCCATCTATCTAGCCTAGCGATAGTTCAAGGGCGCACCTGTACCCGCTTCCACGTGGACCGGAGAATGCCATCATCTCCAACAGAGCATCTGGAAGACGATGACCATAGTGTATATGGTTAACGCCTCGCATGCGGCCTATGGGCGGCTCAAATGAGTAGTGTCATGACAGAGTATGTCCGAGCACGCCACTTCTCTTCCCGGCGCTCCGGTATCCAAATCTAGACTTCCGTCGAAACTCAGCTTGGCACCATATACTCTCCAAACGGCTTACCTGTATCTGCACTAAATAATATTCGGACAACGCCTGCCTTGTAGTTCTAAGTGAACGATGGGCACATGACCAGCATTATCGAGCGTCCCCGGGATCTTATCCCACGCTCAATACACTGGCATTGATTTCTTTCGACCCGAACTTGCTGGCTTTTCTTATCATACCACGACGTGGCTTTAACACCATCCTGGGGTGTCTGGGGCAGGAGGCCTTGCTCACAGCACGAGTGTCCCAAAACATCAGTCATCAGAGGTTCTTGACTCTGGCACTGCCATGATGTACGCGATACATCCACCCGCAAGTCATTCGTTTCTTACATTGTTGTGCTCACCTCAGGTCAGCCACGGTGAGGCGGAGAATGGGTATCTCCAGTCTGATTCCTGTGACGCCTTCACGTCCATTGATGTTCTATCAAATCAGCGACAATCAGATTGTCAAACAACGGGCTGATTGTACAACCTTCATGTGCAGGATGAGAGAAAAACACCATGCCGGATCTTCTTCCATCGCAGTTGCATGAGGAAAACATTATGACCTTGGAGATTGATGTATCCAAACGCTTGAAATCAAAAATCAACGAACAAACCGCGAAGGAATACCTCACAAAAAAATCATTGGGCGAGCCAGGGAATCTTTCTTTTTCGTCTGAAGTTTTATGTCAGATGTCGACGGGACCTTCTCATGTTTGATTCCTCCAGCTGGTAGGAAAAAAGGTCGTCAGATGCCCCTGCCTGGAAAACCGGCCGACAAACGTGCCTTCCAATTCCAATGCAAACTGTCTCTTCAACACCGGCACTAGCACGTGGAAATCACCCTCTACCCAAACCGCTCCCTCCTTTTTCCACTGACGGAACTGAAGTGTCGGTGAATCTATATTTCCAATTTTCCCGGTTTCTCCATTGCAAGTCTGTGGCCGTTGACACTGCAGCTCTACTCGTTTAAAGCTCAAGGCCACTTGTCGGATTCTAGTACAACCGTGCTTCGCCGGACGATATTGAGTCGAAGCATTTTTGCTTCTTTATTCACCTTCCTCTAAGCTTGTCCTCGTCATCCATTCTATTCTGGACTCCATCACCATTTGCGACAACTTATCTGTCACGATCACTTGACCGTCGTCAACGTTTCATGGGGTTCTGTCTTGATATCAACTTGCTCATCATCTCCGCGGCCCCCCCGTCCTTCTGGCCCGACGCGACCACTTCAGCATCACGCTCCCAACATGGCCAGCCGCGACGAGTGGATGCGATTGAGCGCTATGGTACAAAACTCCTATCCTCTCTTTGTTGGCCTTATTGCTGACACAGTCTTCACAGAGAGACGAGATTGTCCGCAGCAATATATTCGTCAAGCTCGAAGATGGCGACGGATGGAAGTCAAACCCTGAAATCCCCACGGCCAAGGAGATCCTCCTTCTCCAGAAAGAAGCCGAAGGTCTTCCTGACAACCATGTAAACAAGCCCTGGAAGTCGAAGGAGGACTATTTGAAGGCTCAGTACGAGATCCTTCGTCGCGAGGGCACTGAAGGCTTGCGATTTGCAGTCAACAATTACATCTGGAACAATAACAACGGACTGCGCCAGGATGACGATGACCACAAGTTCGTCTATAATCAGGTCCGCATCAAGTCGTACGTCATGACAACATTGGGGCCTCTTGCTCGCGTTGAGTTCATGTCACAGCGAGCCATCAAATGGCTCAAGTCCGGCCGCCTGAAGCCTGGCAGTCTCCTTGCCATCACGACCAAGGCCGACAAGTTCAAAACCATTTGCAAGGTTGCTGTGGTAGCCCAAAGGCCGTACTTGCTTGGCCTTGATCAAACCCCTCCACTCGTCGACATCATGTGGGGCAACCCAGAAGAAGACGCTGTCTTCGACTGTGATCTCGAGCTTGTTATGATTGAGGCCCGGCACGGCTACTTCGAATCCTCGCGTCATTCTTTGGTCGGACTACAACTGGCTGCGCAGGCAGAGTATGTATAGCGTAGACCCCCAGGCTGAGATGGACCATAGGCTAATGATGATTTTTCTAGTACCCCTATCGACAAGTACATCACCGGCAATCACCAGAAAAATGAGACACCATGCTTCATATCCCAACATCCAGTTATGGACTTCTCTTCTGTTTTGCGCCAACCGCTTGCAGACCCCAACAGGCTCAAGTCCCTGCGCGAGTTCAACGTACTCTCTGGATCTCTCCCAGTCCCAGATGATGCGGAGGACATCAGCATTCTCGACGCCTCGCAGTTATCCGCCCTCCATCAAATGGTCTCCCAGGAGCTGGCCATCATCCAAGGCCCTCCAGGAACTGGAAAGACTTTCACCTCGGTGGAGGCAATCAAAGTCATGCTTGCGAGTCGTCGGAAGCGTCCAGGGTCCAACCCACCGCTCATTGTTGCTGCGCAGACGAATCATGCCTTAGATCAGCTACTTGGCCATTGTCTTGACGCGAACGCAAAGATTTTGCGTCTTGGATCGAGAAGTGACAGAGAGGACATGAGGCCTTACAGCTTGTATGAGGTCCGCCGCAAATGCTCTCGTGGTGGGGGTGGTAAGCGGTTCAGAGAACTCGAGGGTAACCGCCATACCAACATCGACGGAGTAGAGGCGCTGGTTAACAGTGTTTTTGGGGACAGTCTCATCGATCCACGCGAGCTTCATACACATGGCATCATCACCGAAGAACAGCTGGAGTCACTGTATGATGAAGAACTGGAGACATGCCCGGAGCTGGAGAAGCTTGGTCCTTTCTCCTTATGGCTGGGAGACTCCCGAATCCCGGCCCGGATTATTCGTGACAGGCAGCCTCTGGTATCAGAAATTCTGGAAGCTGACGAAGATTTCGACTACGAGCGTGACGTGGAGAACATCGCGTACGATGAGGAAGATGCAGACAGGATCAACGGCAGGGAAATCAAGCTGATGCATGTATGGACCGGAAAGTAAGTTGACGGCTTCCTGATATTCTCTTGTACTGCTCATTTGAGTTGTGCGTTTATTTGTGGCACCCATTGTATCTGGTTTCAGTGATATTAACAATATTCAAACAGGGAGCCCGGGCACTTCAAAACCTGGAATCATCGTGCACAACGCTTGCTCAGAGAGAATCGCAACCTCTTTGACATACCCGAAGAGTGGAGGGGCGCAGTTTACCAACACCTTCAGTCTAAATTGGTACAAGCGACAACCCCGACACTGGCTCAGCTACTGGCCAAATACGTCGATATATGCAAGCAGCGCAGAGCACTCAGAGCTCGGCAAGATATCGACATGGTCTTCCAACAAGATATTGCGGTCATCGGCTGCACAACAACCGGCCTCACCAAGTATCGCGCGTTCCTGGCCGGGTGTCAGCCCCTTACCCTACTCATCGAAGAAGCTGCCGAAACGAGGGAAGGCAATATCACCTCGGCTCTATATCCTTCCCTTCAACAACTAATTCTGGTTGGTGACCACCAACAGATGTCGCCTCGATGCGATATTCGATGGCTCGGCCAACACCCTTACAACTTGAACGTCTCGCTGTTTGAAAGACTCATCAACCTTAGCATGAATCATATCATGCTCAATAAACAGCGCCGTATGAGGCCAGAGCTGAGGCGCATAGTTTCTCCATTCTACGACAATCTACAGGACCACTACAGCGTTCTGTCACCACAAGCACGTCCCGATGTCCCCGGGATGGGTGGGCGTAATTGCTGGTTCTTTGATCACCAATGGCTTGAGGACACGAACTCTGACAACAGCAAGCTCAACGACCAAGAGGCTGAAATGATCACCCTATTCTTTGTATATCTTGTCGCCAATGGTGTGTCTAGTGACAAGATAACCATCTTGACATACTATAGGGGCCAGAGAAGTCTGATCCTTAGGAAGCTGAAGGGGCATCCATCGCTTACTGGTTGTTACTTCAACGTCTTTACGGTGGACTCGTACCAAGGTGAAGAGAATGATATTATTCTCTTGTCCTTGGTTCGTAGTCCTCATCCAGCCTATGGCTGCAACATTGGCTTTCTTGACAACCCACACCGAGCTGTGGTTGCCATCAGTCGTGCTCGGCAAGGGTTCTATATGTTTGGCAACGTCACCAACTTGGTCGAGGCCAAGATCGAATCAACTCTCTTATGGCTTACTATTTTCAAGAGATTTGAGGATCAGGGCATGGTCCACCGAGAGCTTGGACTTCCTTTGGTATGCCAGAATCATGGGAACGAGGTCTGGATCAAGGACCTTGATGATTGGGCCGACAACGCTGGTGGCTGTCACGAAAGGTGTCAAGAGACTAGGCCTTGTGGTCATCCTTGCACTCTGAGGTGCCATGCTATTCCGCATGAAAATCTTCCTTGTAGCAGTCCATGCTTCCAAATCGTCCCTGAGTGTGGACACCCCTGTGACGGTCTTTGCGGCGAAAGATGTTTCCACAACTGTAAGGCCTTTAGGCAGGCAAAGGCGTTGGCCAAGCAAGCGCAGAGACAAGGAACAGGATCACCAAAAGCGAAGACCATTGAAGATCTTTTGCTCCAACATGGTGCTCAAGACTTTGGACATGAGGAGCCGGTCAAACGCAAAACCCCTACGTTAACAGGGAGTCCTCATGGGCGTTACAGCCATCTTGGGGAAATGCCATTGCGTCCTCTGATCGGTAATTGGGAGAATGCCGAAGCCGTAATCCAGCAGCAAGACAGGCAGCTTGACGAGGAGCTGGCGAAGCGGAACGGGGAGTGGCTCAGCCAGAATCATTACATGCAAGACCGATGGATGCCAACGGGCGTCGATGCCTCGGGCACCCGTATCCGAACCGGTCCAACTATCACGCGTCCAACTATCACTCAATCCCTCCAGTTTTCAAACGAGTTGCCGGTCACGACCTCCACAAGCGCTCTGACGGCTAGTTCCGAGATTACTTTGCGTGCTGGCTCTGGTGTCGGTCCAATCTTTGCGCCCGCATCGAACCAGTTCCCGAAGATCGCCGCTGTCGCTCAGCCCGAACCTTTGATTCAATTTGAAGAATACGACTCTTCTGCTCCTGCGTCCGGCATTGAGAATGAGGCAACAAAAGAGTTGGAGGTCGTTGAAGAAGAGGACCTAATTGATTTGGCTTAATGGGCGTGTGTCTCTTCAAAGATAAGTTGGCAAGCAAGCGACTACTCCGCCAAAGCTCTTCGCTCTGCAGCTTCAAGTTGTGAGCTGAAGAAGGGAAGAAAACAAAGAAAATGAGAAGGAATATCAATGAAGAAAGGGCAAAAAAAGAACAAGGAAAAGAGCAAAAGGGAGGGCAAGTGATAGAAAAAGGAGGGAGGAAAATGAAGAGAAAACACACAAAAGAAGAGAGGAGAGGTACTGCAAGTACAAGAATTTCCGTGGTTGGAAGGAGCCTGTTGATGCGGAGTGTGTCCCAGCACAGTTTTCTTCGAAGGGGAAATGGAGTGGGCGGAAGACCCAAGAGGGGCAATAATAAGGAATATTTCCGTGGGGGAAGAGGGTCTCGGTATGTAGCTGAGCTGGAATGTAACAAGAAATTCTATAGTCTGTGTCCTGCTCCATTGCTTCATTGTGATGTGTGAATAGTACTAGAGGTACCTGTTCGTATCTAACTATCCAATGTTGATGGAATCTCACGGCAGCAGAGATGGAGGAATATAGACAAGTTCAAAATAATGACTGAGCACATACCTACAACAATAGATGGTAGAAAACTCCGGATCCATTCCGCTCTCCCGTTTGAACATAATTCAACGAGGCCCTAAAGTGTGGGCGCGTGAGTGCATTTCAAAAAGAAAGAAAACAGGGGAGCACTCTTGAGAAGAAATGACAACCAAAGAATGTCCACTTTATCAAATAGAAGGGAGACTTTTCGTGTATATTATTATAGTGCTTCACTGCAGTTGCTACCTCTTGATGCAAGTAAAAACTGTGATTTCGAGGATATAGCGTTCGAGTGTCTGAACAGCAGCTCTGTTTCCTACCGAACGATTAAGATCGCTCACAATAGGTTGCTCAAACCATTGCTATAGACCGCCATAACCGCTAAGAGAATTGGAGGTACAGTCGAACCCTCTGAAACCGCCAGTTATTCTAGTGCATAGGATCTTGCTCTCTCAATTATCCTTTTCAGGGTCAAACTGCGCTCTAAGAATCTCATATACGCTACTTATTACATAGACTTTCCCAGTCTGTGTTACATACAGTTCTAGGGGGTTCGACTTGCAAGCCATGGTAAACCCTCCACGACAAAGGCACGAAGCAAATCCTACTAGGTATTGAGTAGAAAGAAAGGGACGGCTTGTCGTAAATTAAAAAGAAACTGTAGAGCAAATAATATCCAAAACGCAAAGAGAAAGCCCAAAAAGACCCAAAAAATGCAAAACACTGAAGAAAAGCTCTGTATCAGCCAAAGTTAATGTGTCCCTCCTCCTCCCATCATTTACCCCACAACCCACTAAGCACCTCATTGACAACTCGGTCTATGCGGCTATTCCCCATAATCATAGCAATTTCCAACTTCCCTTCGGAGCCTTTCTCCCGTTCCTTCTATTCCTTCATGTGCAGCTTGCCCTCGACAGTGTCCTACTTCACCGGCGAAATCTCGTACCCGATCAACACCTCCGTGCTCGTACCATCCCAGCCCCTCGTGCCCGCCGCCGAAATCATGATCCTGCTCGTGGGATCGATATACAAGGACGAGATGACGCCCGCTTTCGGAGGGCCCGGCACAACCACGAAGGGAACCTTGGAGTGCTTCGTCGCTTGCGTCTCACCCTGCAGGTCCCACAAGCGCAAAATGTCGTGCGACGCGCAAATAATGTGTCGCCCGTTAGCCATGGGTCGCACGCAGCTGACTGCTCCACTGCCGTTGGGGAACTTGAAGGTTCGCTCGGGTTGCCACCCGCCCCGCGCCTTGTGGATGCTGAATTCTTCGACGGTGCCGTTGCGCCGGCCGGCGTAGATCCAGTTGCCGTCGACGGACCAGCAGGCGCCCATGCACCAGGGTGGGACGCCGCGGCGGTTGCCGATGCGGGCGACGGGGTCGGGGACGCGGCGGTCCCAGATTCGGATGGTGCCGTCGATGGAGGCGGCCATGAAGATGTTGGGGGATGTTTGGGTGTCGTCGTTTTGAGCAGCGGGAGGGGGGGCTGTGTTGAAGACGATACTCGGAGAGGCGGGGGCGATGGGCTCAAAGGGGATGGGTTCGTGGTCGGTTGGGGGGACGGGATTCTGGTCTTGTTGTGGTTGTTGTGTTTGGGTTTGTTGCTCGGATATTGCGGCTGCTTGGTGTCCGGAGTCTGACATTGTGTGGCTGGAGTCTCCATTAGATATGTCCATGTTCATGGCCCCGTTCTCGGCGGGCCCGTTGGCATCAGGCCCGGGTCCGTGGGCAGCGTCGTTGGTGTCCGTTAGGGGTTCGGCATCGCCCATGGGGAAGTCGTCGGTGTGCTGCCCTTGGTTATTCTGTTCCTCCTTGAGTTCCATGCCCATAGCTCTGGAAAACTCGTTGTCGTCTTCATCATCCCCAAAGGCATTCCCACCGCCTATTGTTTCGTTATCCCCGAAGAGTGACCCTGCGGGACTACCGAACAGAGACTCGTGTTCTGGGGACGGGACATCATTCGCGGCGCCGTCGTTCGCGTTGGATTGTCCTGTCGTGTCCATGTCTCCATTTGCGCCGTTCGAGAAAAAGCCATTCATGACTGGCTTTAAATCGTTACTCTCGAAGGTGTCTGTTATGATCTCGGGATCGCTGGCCACGGCTGGAATCGGGGCACCCGAAGTCGGTCGTAGCTCGATAGCTGCTATCTGCCCACCACTGCCCTCAAACCGCCGTATAACCGACCCGTCGTTGAGGTCCCAGTCCAGCACTGTCTTGTCCCAACTTCCGCTCAGCACGCTCTTTTCGTCAGGGGCCAGTTGTAACACGCTAACGGCATTGGTGTGGCCATTGGTCCGTAGACAGTGTATCCTCTTTCCCTCGTCGTGCCTCACGCTCTGTAGGTTGATGCCACCACTTTCTAGGCCACTCAGCGCCCATAAGGCCTGACGGTGAACTGCCAAGCTGTATACCGGTGACAGGATCCTGTCGTCATCTCTGGTGTTCTGGCCTGTCCACTCCTGGTTGTCCCAATAGCTCATGAGCACCCCGGACTTGACAACACTGTCGACGAATGGGTGTTTCTGGGCAACTGTGAGCTGCTGCTTGCCGTTAATGGTGCCGATACCGTCAAACTTTCGGATATAGCCGTCGGATCCGCCCGTCAACCAGTAGCGCATGTCGGGCGTGACGGCTACGGCGTTGATGCTGGTGGCTTGTGGAGCAGCCATGGTAGGAACGATGTCGTAAGTGGAAGCTGTAATGTACTCTGGTCGTATCGTCGGTCGCCATTTTACCCCTGATCCTGAGCCTGAGGGTGTCGCGGAGACGCGTCTAGCTGTTTGGGACGTGGTTTGGTCGGGTGCATTTGGGTCGTGGGCGTTTTGTGCTTGGGATTCATCCTCTGCTTCAGGTTCGGGCTCTGGATCTCGCTCGGGCTCGTCTTGCTCTTCCTGTTCTTCGTCGTCGTCTTCGTTAAAGTCTTCGCCGTATGTGTCGTTCTCGTTGTCATCAGCGTCCTCCATGAGCTCGTCCTGCTCGTTGTCGGAGCTGCCATATTCTCGATCGTCTTCGTCCATTGTGCGTGTTGGTGGTAAATTCGTGGAGTGGTTCGACTGTGGTGGTAGTTATGCCGGGTATATATAGTCAACGCATTCGATGTCGTGTGACTGTGCTGTACGTGAACCAAGGACGTGGGGGTGTTTGTTGAGGACAAAAGATGATGACGGGAGAAAGAAGCTCCAAGTCTTGGTTGTTCCCGAATCAAAGCTACCTTAGAGGTACTTGACATGCAACTGCGGCAGGCATTGATAAAGTTAAAGGTCCAGCCTGGGTGTTAAGGTTTAGCGGATCAGCAGGGCGGAACGCTTAACACCCTGCACCCCACCGATTGCCATCCCAACGGTAAATCAACCAGACAACAGATGCCGGGCAGTCCCTGAGCTGCCCTGTTACACAGGGGCCTTTAACGGGCAGGCAAGAACAACTGCCCAATCACATGCAAGGTCATCAAGGTGCTCGTCAACTAGGACGGATACTTAGCTAGGTATTCAACTCTGGGATTATCAGGTACAAGGTATCTTGCTAGCTATCATGATGCGAAACAGAAAGTCGAAATATGCGTCAAATGGAAATAAGACAGTAATGAGATGGAAATAAGATCCAACATGCATCGCAAAACACCTAAAAACGACCGGAACCCCGAGCGAACAATGCAAACGCAGAAAACCATAACCTTGAAACAATGAGGGCCTTATCCATCTCTGCCCCGGGTATGTATCCTCCTCTTCTCAACTCCCATTCTTGCTTTGTAAATATGGCTTAGGGTAGTGCTGACAAAAACCCCGTAATCCAGACTCAGTCAGTCATTTCCAGCCCCGTCTCGCCTTCGTTCAGCACGACCACCACGTACCGCTTCGACCCTTCCGGTAGCTCTTGCTCGGCCGTCTCGCCTGTCGTCTCTTCCGTGATGTGCATCGCGTGATCATGCAACTTCGGATCCACCTGCGACAATATCTCAGGTGTGTTATCGTGATTGATGACCACAATATGGTGTGGCCGACTCCGGAGTAGCTCAGGCGGGGCCGCGCCCTCTTCAAACACCACCACGTGCTTCCTGGAACTCGAGGAGATGTCGGTGACGTAGCGGTTCCCGGTAGCTAGGAGAGGATCCGTTTCAGGCAGATGAGGAACTTGCTTCATAAGCGCGAGACGCTCGGGGTGCTTGAGACGTGCCGGGACCGGTATGTCGGTCTCGAGGGATGCTTGGAAGCGGACTTGGGAGGAGGAGGCTGTTGAGCCGTCCGACATGAAGCTTTCGCCTGGCGGCATTGTGGACTGCGTGGTCGTGGCAAGAGAGAAGTTGTCTATACTGAACTGTCGGCGGCGGGCCTTGGTTGCGGAGGTGCTGCTTGATCCGGATGTCATGTTGCTCTGCTCCGTTTTGGGAGGAGCATGAAGGACCCCATTCTGAAGTTTACCAAGACCCCCATTCTGGCTTGTATGGGCATCTTGATAAGAGTAAGGCGACCTGTCGGACGGATCATGCTTGTCCTGGAGCAAAGGTGCCGCCTCCTCGTCGGACGAATCTGCGGACGATGATGTTCTAGCGCTCTCGAAATCCGCATCGGTAAGCAACCCGCCCAAGAAAAACAATGCGGTTAGTCCGGCGCACCCGCACAACCATGAGAGTGTCGTAGTCAGACCTGTCCACCCAGAAACTCCCATGACGGTTGCAACAATCAGCGGACCAACGAAGCTGCCCCAGGCATTGGCGAGACTAGGAAGACTCTCGGCCTTTGCCGCACCGGTTGAGAGGCCGCCGACTCCAATTACATCATCTCCTCCGGCGACTGCTTCGATAATCTCCTTCACGAGCGGCTCGCCGCAAAGACCCAAGGCTACGGAGATCCAGCCAAGGGTAGCCAGTAGAGCCGTCTGAACGGTCATCTTGTTCTGAGTCAAACCGCCCAAACAAGTAAAAGCCGGACCGGCCGCGATGAAGCCAAATGCTGTCAAGAGCCGAGAGGCCTGCGCGTACCGATTCGTAAGAGGAGTCGTTAAAAGACCGACCAAAGCTGCCGGAGCCGAAAGGGGGACGAAGACGAAGCCAGCGGCAGCCATAGGCCAGTCGAATGTCCGCTGCACGAAGATCGGCAACACACTCTGTAGCGCCGAACCGATCAGACTGAGGGCGACGTATCCTCCCATCGGTACAATGAGGCGCAAAACAGACGGGTGCAGGCCGAGTGCTCCCTTCTGAGGAACAGTGACCTCGGAAGCCGCTAAGCTGGGTCGTCTCGTCGACTGGCGTGAGACATGGCCGGGAGACACTTCTCTTGAGGAATACCCGCCGCGGGAGGAGAGAGTCCCATAATTCTGAGAGTCTTCCTGAGAAGTCAGAAGCCCCTCCGCCTCATGTCGATCGCCTCTTGTCCGCGGATACCTTCCCGGGGGCGTGACAACCGCCACGAGCCCGCCAAACACAAGCGTCAAAGCGATGATCGCATAAGCCAGCGTAAACACGGCCGCCTGTCCGCCAAAGAAACCATGCAGCAATCCCGCAGATACCGGGCCGATCGAGATGGCGAAACTCTGGATAAACGCGGGCGTCATCCATGTCAACACGTCGACAGCAGTGGTTCCATCATCGTCTTCATGCTCTTCGTCGTCATCTTCGTCATCTTCGCTGCTGTAAGTCAAGACCACGCCGGCCACCAAGCTGGCGCTAGCTCTCGCAATTGCCACACCTGCGATACCGTGTAGGGCGCGCGAGAGGACGAGGAAGAATAGGTTGGAGTGGAACTGCAAGAGGACAAAGGAGCCTGCTGCTAGACCGAGCCCGCCGAAGAGGAGGACCCAGAGGAGAGGGCCTTGGCGGGTTAGGTAGGGGACGGATGCTGAACAACAACAACAAAAAAAAAAAAAAAAAGGAAACATGTTAGCAACATTCAATTAAGCAAAGCCTTGTTGTGTGCCCGCATTGGGGACGGTGTGATGGATGACTTACAATATAATGCAGCGAATGCGCCACCATATGTTGAGATGAGGATTGATGTCCAAAATTGCACTGAAAAATGGTAACATCAAATGTCAGCCCAACCAATGTCTCAATCAACAAGCGCAACAACGGCATTGGACCGACCAAACATACCATGTTTATGGTGTACTCCGGCCCTGGTTTCTAGAATCGTAGGGATAAGAGGGATCAACAGTCCCGTCAGAAAAGCATCGGTAAACTGGGCAGCTTTGGCGACTGCTATGAGAAGCGACATTGTGGCATTGATGTCTGGTTGAGTGAAGCCGCCGAAGGTGATGGTGTTGTTGTCATGAGAATACGGAGGTCGACGATGGTGGCTGTAGTGGCCTCGACCGTCAAATCCTGTAATTTGTTGTGGATGATAGTAATTGG